TATACGCAACACAAAAATGTTTAATAGCGAACGCTGAACATGTGACTTTAATTTGGTTTAATAGATATATGTATCGTTTACCACCATATATATAATTGATAGAATATTTTTACAAATAGTTTACATTATTTCGATAAAACTGTTTATGTCGATATGATTTTGAAATTATCGAAAAAATTCAGTTATTTTGAGATTTAAAGAACCATAATACTTAGATGATTTATAGTAATAATCGATTAACTAAATAGAGAAAAAAAATCTTATTAATACCGTACATTAGAACCAATGCAATTCACCGGCAACCCTTTTGTTGTTTTTAAAAACTATTTTTTTTTCAACGCTAAACGTTTCCGTCATCAACAATTACGTGTCTTTTCCCGATGGAAAAATTATAAAACTACACTACGGCGAACGTAGATTAAAAAATATAAAATAAAAACACGAAAAACAAGCAAACGTAAATAAAACGTAATAAAACACCACCTAATCGTTGCGAACGTTAGCCTGGCTCGAACGGAATCCATCATTGCTTACTTTGCTGTTCGACGAACAGTTATTATGCATTATAATTAATTTAATTTAATTTTATTTTTTTCATTTCGTCGTGTAAACTAACCGAACGAAACGAGTTGTTGAATTAAAATATTGCCGTCAAACGTTCTAAGCGGTTATTATGCCTCAAACTATTTTAGTTGCATTAAATTTTCCGGTTTGTTGCTTTCAACACCAAACGTGGAAGATTATTTGGAGGCGGAAGAGAACGAGCGAATGAAAAAAAAAAAAAAGCTATACTCTAAATTTAAAGACTACCCGGCCCCCGGCCCCTTAGCACATTTTAAAATACAATCCGTTTTAATGGTTCTTGTCTGTGACTAAAACCCATCAATTACTTTTTCGTTTAAAAACCGCGGCGGATATACACACATGCATATATCCCCTAGCCCTAGAGCAAAACGTCAATCTCCAGCAACCATGAAATTGATTTTTGATGTTGTTATAATATTGCACGTAACGTTTTACACCTAAATATCCACGTCAACCCTCTTCCAGTGCACAGCGGTGGGACCAAACATGTGGTCTTTATGGCCATTAATACCCAAGGACTTTTTAATTCTCACTTTGAGCGCTAACGGTTTTGATGCTTATTATTAATATTATTATTATTATTATAACTTTAGATGGGAAATCATAAATTAATGTTGCTAAACATTTCGAATAATTAATGTCACAGGTTCGTGTCTCCATCAAGAAACACGTTTAGAAATTCAATATTTTTCACGTATATTTGTTTATTATTACTTTTATCTATAGTATGTCGTTTAATAGGTTGAAAATATAAATATTTACATAAATACAATCTAATATAATTTAGATACATGGACCATCGTTAACGTGTTTTGTGGAGATAAGCAAGATATGATCAGATGAAGAAATGAAGACCAATAGTCGATCAAGGATTTATGCGGGAAGGAAATCAGATAATGGTATATTTAATGGGGATGGAACGATTATGTTTTTGGTGGAAGTGGCCAATCTACCCATGCACTGTTTCATTACATAGGATACCGATGTGGCTCGGAACTCATAGGTATATGACGGTTCTATGAGTTATGAAGAATCAATATATATTAGTGCTTCGATCTTGAGAATCAACAGAGAAACGGATATATATATATATATATGATGTTAAATATATATAAACACGTGCGCGTTGCGTTGTTTTCACATCAGGTACCTTGTGACGACGAAATCACGTTTCAAAGGTAAGCTGATTTGCAGTGTCGAGATGTTACGTCGATATTTTATCATACAAGATTCGTTTTCGCAAAGCCACCCCGGGCAACATTAGATTTATGCACGAGAATCCACATGTGCGTAAACAGCTCTAAACATTCGTACCATACGCGTACGTATGTGTTGGAAACGTGCGAAGGAATCTATTAAAAAATTGCGAATATTATTCGGATGTATAATAAACGTTTCGAGTATAAATAATAACAGCGACGAAAACAACATCGATGGATATTGTTGGTAATAAAAAAAACTCTCTCGTAATACGTAGTCGTCGGCACAGACACAAGGACCGAAATTGATTTATTTCTTCGCGGAAACATGTTTGAATTAAGCGCTCTGCGGATGTACGGTTACACACGCGTTCACGCGAACGGCTTGGATTTCGTTTGAACGTATTGCAATAATCTCGAGGAAAACTTAACGAAGGAACGGGCGAGACAGCCTATTAATATTGTTATTGAGATTTATTCTCGCGAATACAACTGTTTTTATTATTATAAAAAGCGCGACGACAGTCGTTTCGCGAACAATAATAATAATAACAAACAGTACTGAGACGCGAATAATTATTAATGATGATTCGTATTCCGATTGATTGTTAACGATTCACTTTTGTCCGCGAGAATATTAACCTTTGGCTATGGCCCAGAACGAGTCGTGAACACGTTCGCAAAATCTTATCACGCTACGGCATCGTCATCGCTGTGTCCGTGTATGCAGCGTTTGGAGGAGAAAAAAAAACACCCCCTATTTTAGTGTAGCGTCGGCAGAACAAGCATTTATTTTGTACAGGACCTTACCTGACCGCCGACGGGTTTATACCGCACGATTTAGCTGTTCTCACAATTTATTAAATCATGGATCTGCGCGTCACCGACGCGTTAGGATTTCGGCAAGAGTTATTTTTACAGTTCACGACGATTACATCATTTTATACGAACGATAGGTTTAGGCAACGGTTAGCGAGCGCTTTTTTGTTCACACCACTCATCTCCTACCTGTGTGATAATAATTACTTTTTTCGCTCTTATCTTATTGCTTTGTATTCAAAACCTATTTCTATCCGCGTGACAGAAATATTATATTTTCAACAACGTATACTGCGTGTTTCCGATCATAACAATTTTAACTCAAAAACGATTCCAAACTATACATTTTTTATTCGATTTAAGGATTTTTTTTCCCGCTTACCGTAAAGGTGTTAGATTTAAGTTCCGATTTATCAAGCCGAATCGATACGATAATAGTCTATAACTAACATTTTATTTGTCTATGGATGATTGCAATAAGTCTTGGCATCATAGCATCACGAAAAATCATAAACTTCCATTCGTTATCCGTAATTTATATAATGTTATATATACATCATTTTTTTTAAAAATTTGTATTATAATTTAGTTAGAAAAAATAAAATCATGTATTTCATCACGACGACTAATGGAACAATGCATGCGACCGATAAAAAAGTTGGTTTTTTTTTTAAGCAATTTCATGAAATATAATTTTCCGGTGTTATGACTTATTCCGTAAAAAATTAAAAAATTATGCGTACACAAATTGGTGTTTTCGAATGTCAGTGACAACCGACAATTTGTTTTTTTTTTTTACGTTTAATTTATCAGGAAAACAATAACTGTTCGGATGCGGTCTTTGGTCATATTTTGTTCACGGTTTTTTTTTCCGTACCAAACATAATCAATCATCGATGCGTCATGGCGATGACACTTGATAGGGCAAATAAAAAAAAAAAAAAAAAACAAAACTCGTGTTCAGCAACGGTATTACAGTCAAGGATTATGAATTATTAATAAGCGTTGCCATAATTACACGAAAGGTGCCGGGAATGTCAAAAAATTCAGGAAAAATGAACATGAACTAGAGCTTTCAAAGGGTTTACGACAGCGAAATATGATGAAGAGATAAAGTTTAACGTATTTCTAAAGCATTTCCAAAGTATCCGATCAATGAAAAAGTGGCCGTTGCACTACGGATTTTATCTTTTTATGTTATTATGTTTTTAATTAAAAATTCATTACGGCTCTTGCCGTAAACTAAGAAATTAGTACACACTTCATCGTTTCAGTCGCTTATCAATAATGGTACACGACGATACAGTAGTCCATGGTATACAGTTGATCGTCATCGACATGCAATCACGTGGATTAAAATATTATTGCATTACCACGTGGTGCCTGAACGTGGACGACTCTTGATTTAGTTCGGATTCCGACCAGCATCTATTATCGTAATATTTTTACACTTCTGCAGTACGCGTATAATCCATGGCATACGATTATAATTGTTTTGCCAGATCTTTTGATCTCGAAACATGTATATGTTTTCCATTTCGTTTTTCTCGCCATATCCACCATTTGCTTAGGATTGTAAATAAAACTGCATATTTTTATTTGTTTTTCATCTCGAATGAATCACGGGTGGTTTATCCGACGTGGACGGTAATGATATTATTACTTATTGTTTTTGGAGACGCTACTCTCATTGTTCAACACTGTGTTCAATTAAATTTCACTTTATCCATTCAAGTTTAGAACTTTTGCGAAACTGACATTAATATACTTGAATTATCTCTGTTAAGGACAGTGTAAAGGGTCAATTACTGACCCTTGTCATGTAAATTACATAGAACGAATTGCGATGTACAGACAGTGCTGCTGTGATGTTGTGTACCTACCGAACTATCCTACTTAACCCAAATTAACGCGCGTGCGCAATATATATATATATACGTGTGTATACATTTATTTATATATATAGGCACATAAAAAATTCAAATCACATATTGTCACTGAAACTACTATGTACACTATAGTGTAACGCTGTAGCAGTTGTTCGCTTAGAAACGTTTTATTTTTTAATCCAAACAGTTCACGTGGTACTATGAGTTTACGCGCACACGGATTCGTATTGTTAAACATTAGAAACCCATGTTTTCGCTAAAAACGACCGAGATCAGGAGGTCAACCGATAACCGTGACCGATAATCTGATTCTCTATAACATTTGATTTGAGTTAAAAAAAAAACCGGAAACGTGTTACTAGCACTTCGATGATGCGATAATGAATAACGGTAATGGTATGAAGATCGATATTGATTTGATCCGTAATGTTTTAAAAGCTGAGTGTAAAATACGATATATCAATGATATTGATTATAATATCGATTCGCATGCTGCAAAGGTACTTACCTAATACGCCTAGCCTGTAATTGATAGTGACCACGACCAAACCTCCGTAGCTGGCTAACACCGTGCCGTCGTACGGGTTTCCGGAGTTCCATTCATACGATTCGCCATGAATGAACACCAACACGGGTTTCAGCGATATTTTTTCCGAACTCCCGAAATTGACTGCGAAAAAATAAAAAACAAATTTCGTTACAAAAAAATGTAAATATTATTGCGTCCACTCCTACGAGATAAACAAAACGTGTCAAGTGCTAGTTTAATAGTTCAGCATTGATCTTATATTATTATTATTATACACGTCATTGTCATCGTACGATTGACTTATTTGACAACGTTTTTGGTTCTAATATAGTTTTACGAATAACAAATTTAAAAACCGTGTTATATTCATACCCTGTTAACGAATCAATTACTTTTAATATTTTAAACTGTTTTGTTGTTTTTCTTACAGATCTGTATCATTAAGCTGACTATAGCCTCGGAAGAAATTAATTTATACTTGAATACTTGAGTTCATCGTGTTTGTGATTTGTTTGATTTTTTTTTTTTTTTTTATCTATTATAAGACTTCGATGAAAATCGTATGATTATATTAATACCATAGTTGACAGTGAATATTTAATAAATTAAACATGTAAATAAAAATACTGGACCACTTAAAAGTAATAATATTTTACAGAACATAATAAAAGTTTTTTTTTTTTTTTTGAAGACCGGATTTATATGCATTTTAAATTATAAAATATGCATGCAAATTAAAATTTCAATTTTTATTCATTTTAATTTCACGGTGATAATCATTTATTAATTTTAATAAAATTTTCAAAAATAAAAAGTGAGATGCAAATATGCAACACGGTAATGTAATTTGTTAAATCATAGAAATTATAGAAATAGCAAGTTGAAAAAAATATCCAAATAATAATAATATCCAATAATAATAGTTTTTACTAACTGTAGTCAAATATCAGAAAAATCAAAAAAATCGTTTATTTTAAAATGTTGGTTGGAATAATTTTCCGTCAATCCACATTGTTTATGAATTAACTACTAAATATTACATCTAAATTAAGTGGAGATAACATACAAACTCATATGATAACAATACATGAAAAATATCAAAACAAATTTCTCCAAACGCGTTATAAAAATAGTAATACATGTATACCCATAAGTGACGGCTCAGCGCTGTTGGGTTAACTTGGCTCCAACGTTATTTTTATCAACAATTGTGTAAATATAGCAGTGATTGAAATAATGTATCTATTTATGTTGTTTTCTGTATTGTATCAACAAGATTAGATAAAATAATTAAACTCACGTCTCCATTATAAAACTCATACAACCAACCTATGGCAGTATAATAACCTACACGTACCTACATAAAATCGGTTATTTTTACTCAAAACCTTTTTTGTATTATTAGGTGTACATTTGTACGGTTTTTTTGAATCGCAAATTTTTGCAAAATTATGTAAAACATGCACAAACGTCAGAATATGCAAAAATATACAGTATACAATTTTTATATTTAATCAGCCAAGTAAAGATTTATGGACACTCATTGACTGCATACGAGTACATATAATGTTGAAAATAGCAAATCCGGTCTTTACTTATATCACTACATGAAGTGTAAATTATTTTGTCAAAATTAATTAATACATAATGAAGTGCGTGAATGAGTATATATTGTGTCAACACGTAGAATACTTAATTGTATTTTTCGTTCAACAAAAATAAACTATTGTTCGGGTTATTTCAATTATTCGATGTTTTTCAGGGGTTTTCTCTAGATGACTAATTATTTTCGAAACTTAGTAAATTCCAATTATCTCTTCCTGCATATTTTTTTTATATGTGCCTCTTTTCGAGTTTAAGTTTTATATCAATTAGTGAAACCGTTTATTGATTATTCGAATAAAAAAATAAAAAATAAAAAGAAGGCAACAAAAAAATGAAGCGGACAAAATAAAACTTAGAATATATTTATATTTATTTTAAACTTTTTGAATATTAAAATGTTAAATAAGACATTAATAAATGAGTTGAGTTTGAAATTTAAAGTTTATGTGCTGAAGTCGTTATGCACTAAAAAAATTAATGTAAATGTTAATTATTCCGAAATAAAACTGTAATAAATTCTGTAGTATTTATTATTCACAAACAAATACCCAGATTTAAGACTTTTATCAAATATCATTACTGCTGTTTACGAAATAAAAATGGACCATTATTGCTTTTCGCAGCTGAATGTCAAAAAGTGAACAGTTGTAAATTTAAATATTATCAACAGTAAAAAACGCTTTTTTAAATTGACACTAGTATTAGACTAACTCATCACTAGAGCACAAGCCAGTCATACGTTACTTAAGGTGGCATACAATTTTAAAGAAATTGAAGTAGCAAAGTTAGATACATATTGATAACAGACAACAATAATTAGCCATTTTCGTCTCTAGTATAATTGTATTAGCTCCCTGTGACGTGATTATATATAATATATTGATATATAATATGATTATATCATATTAGAATTCTGATTTGCAATGTCTTTAATACAGTACGTCGTGACGTTACCGTTTATCATGAGCAGACGTTCATTCATTATGTTCGTCCGTTATCGTTTTTATTTCGCTAATGACTTTCTGAATCTATAGTTTTCAATATGTCTCAGAATACCTCTAAACGCAATTTATCATCAACATCATCATCATCATCATCATCGTCTACTAAAGCCGGAAGGAAAAAAGCAAATTATTCATTTCTCTAAACCACTATGCCTCTCATAATGTAGATGATGGTTCTCATCCGGAGGTGTTCAGTTCTCCGCCCATCAAAAATCCATTTCCAGACCAGTAAAACACACCGTCCATCAGCGAAGAATCATCTCCGAGTACCAAAGTTCAAACATCTTACTTCTACATAAATGGAGACTACGAATTCTCCGCGCTCAAGAAACCATTATTTTATACCATCGAACATTTATCTTAAGCCTTAACTTGGCAAAAATTAAAATAGTAGGACGAACATTACAAAATAGATTATTTTAAGCTAATTTAAGTAAAAGTACCGAAATATTTGTTTGTATGCACAGACAAGGTAACAATTACTTCTAACGCGAATAATACATACCTTGCCGATAACGAACAAATCGAATTTCACATATTTTTGCTCGAGTCATTAAAGCAGTATAATTTATTTATTAGGTATCTCCCTACCAGCTCTGTTGAAGACATACAAACTAGTATATTAAGTATATAGATACAATTTATCTGATATACTGGTTTGTATTCATTTAATGACTTCAACATTTGTCTTCTGACATTTAATGTCATGATATTATTCGTGTCACGAATATCCTACACAGTACCCCTATTCCATACTCCAATTGCCTCATTTTCGGATCGACTTAAAATATGTAGATAATAATAGTGACATTTTCATACTGGACCTGCTCTTTCACACTAAAAGTAAATCGAGTTTCTGAGGAAAATGCTTACCTTCCACAATGCAAATTGTGCCAAGTTGACTTCCATACAAGTAATCAAATGTGGTAAAAAATTTAAAAAAAACTTAAGGGATCATGTATCAAAAATAAAAACACCCCACTCCTAATACCACCTTCTTTAAGAATTATGTCTTTCAATGCTAAACATAATATATCATACGCCAACATTACACTTGTAACTAAGTCTGGAAACTCAATCAACAAATTTCTTTAAATATTTTAATGCGATGATTAATTCATTTATATTTTTAATAACCATCGTATTGAATCACCTACAACCATCTTGTCTATTCCCTAAATAATGCCTTAATTATATATTCTAATCGACTTATGAATTTTAATACATTTAATGCATCCATTATAATATAGTTATAAACATGATTTTCTGTTTTTGTTTATCATAATTATTACTGTTTGATAATTTATTATTATAAATGTATAATATAACCTTATTTTTTACAACATTTACTATTCATTACATAAAGATTATGTTATATTTTTATTATAAAATGTGTATACATACTATAGCTAATTACCCAATTTTATTATATAGTATCATTTATGCATTGTAAATGTTGAGCTGTAATATTTGTTACTGATAGCTCCTAAAATATATATATATAATAAATATAATCTACAATAAAGAGTGGAAAATACGTTTTTCATTTCAGGGCAAAAAAAATTTAACAATGGACCTAGAAGCCTAGTTATAACGCTTTTTTCGTGTTTGTACAAACCTAATATTTTATCAGTCATTATTTTTATTATAGTTCGAAAACCGTAGAGTAAAAAATGTATTATTTTTATAAACATTTAGTACAAGTATAAATTTAATAATACAAATAAATAATAATTTGTCACATTCGTTCGATTTAATCTTTATTATTATTATTATTATTGAATACCAAAATCATAATCTTATAATTTCAAAATAATAGAATTTGTCAAATAGAGAAATAGAAAAATACTACATATAATATTTACCTATAAAACACATTAAATAACTAATTTAAATATTTTTCTTATTGTGATTTTAGCAGCATTTTTGTGGTCCCATATTTTAAAAGAAAATGATCATATTTTGAGTGGTCTGTCCCTAACAATGCTTCCACTAGAATGTGTTATCAACAAAGTACAACTAAAATTCCCTGTACGATACTCACCCAACGTCAATCATTATTTCGTTTCTAAAGTTCTAAGATCTTTCCGGCAGACTTATGCGTTTGATGAAGAAACACTTTCAACCATTAAACACATATGAACTCTTAATACCGAAAGTTAATAAAATCAAACTAGCTGTTTAAATTGTATAAGTATTAATCTGTCCAATGAATTAAGTTTAATCCGTATCAAAGTTCCATAATATTTGTCAAACTCCATAATTTAAGTTATTGTCCTATTATATGTTAATAATTGATTTCGATATCTAATAACCATAAAATAAGTTATAAGCTTTCATTACTCGAATTAATATATTTCTTGTTTCTATATAACCATAAAACAAGTAGATAAAATAAATAAAAATGAATTTAAAAATCTCTTACACAACGCAATTGATGTAAGGCCGAATTGTATATTTTTGATACTTTAGTGCTTACTCTAAATAGTTAATTACAATGAAAATATCACTTTTATGTATTTAATTTTTATA